TACGATAGTCCCTTGTGGTACCCATTACTGGGTGGAGGATTGACCCAATAAAGGGGACCTGAATGACTACCGTATACTCCTTTCTGATCTTTGGTCCCCAAGGGTGAATCTGTAATACTGATCCTAATGATCAGTGTCTTCTTGCATGGTGTCTGAAGGGAACCCCTACTTTGAGAAACTTCCACACTGCAACAATCGCTGAGAGCGCTGTCAATGCGCGGCCTGTGCCATTGGCTGGAGTCGCCAAGGATACGTCCGCATATTTATTCGTTCGGGGTAAAGGCCCACAAATTCTTCATAGGCTCCCCCTGGACACGGACAGATAATACTATTTCTGCGAGAAAGCTGATCATTTCAGCAACTGCTCTATGATTACTGGTTGGGACTGCATGGTTTCCACCTTAGGTGTGCTAAAGCATTTGTTTCTGCTAATACCACTGCCGAAAGAGTACCTTCAAATGGAACATATTGGGACTTGAAGAGCAGTGTGGATCCGGGTTCAGGATATTGTTAGAGTGCTTTATATTGGTTAGGGTTTAGGTTTCAGGGGTTTAGGATTTATGGGTTTAGGGTTTAGGTATTTAGGGTTTAGGGGCTTAGGGGGAGGATTGGAGGGAATGATCCAAACAAGATGTCTGTCTTTCTGAGCCAGATGAACAAATGCCCTAGTATGGGAGCTGCCTTGAAAGATGGTCTCTGCCAAAATGGAGGAGAAGTCGCCATTTTATATGTAACTAGGTCAGGTGCCCTTGTGAAAGTACTTCACTCTCGTGTCAAGCACAAAATTACAATGATCTGAACGGTTTGCGGCACCCAAAACTCTAAACCCCTTAACCCTAAACTGCTAAACCCTAAACCCTACGCCCTGATATTTGGGCAGTTGAACAGTTAAGGAGCGCAGGCTTCGTCGACCCTGATGCGTGGGAGATTCCATGATGCGTAGACCTACAAGCACGCTAAACCCTAGAAGCGCGTATGCTAAAGCCTATAGGGTTTGGGGTTTAGGGTTTTAGGGTTCTTGTAGACCCTAAATTCTGAGCCTTGCCCTAAATCCAGAAACAATGCACGTAATTAGTCCTGAAGGATTGCAGAAACCGTGTTGCACTGTGTTTCAAGAGCCCTTGAGAAGCCAGAACCCTCCTCGAATAAAACCCTAAACCCTAAACCCTAAGCCCGATTTAGGACCCTATGTTGACACAAAAGCGCCATGTCAGCCTTCTGCTGGTCCAGCTGTGACATGAAACGCGATTTGTTGCTGGGTGCTCCCCCAATATGAGGCTTAACTCGGTGACAGGGAATGTATATGTGTATATGTATTTGTACCAACATATCTTGTTGTGTATACATGTATACATGTATATACAGACTCATGTATGTATGCATATATAGAAAGAAGGAAAGAAATGAAGAAACACAGCACAGAGAGAGAGATAGAGAGAGAGAGAACATGTGTGTCTATGTATATACAGTGTGTATGTGTACATAGATGTAGAAGTTAATGGCGAATTGATTCAGGTTTGGGGCGTAGAGCTCAGGGCTTCGCATAAAGGGTGACTTGAAACATCTTGAAACATGCAACCCCCAGAAGGGCTGGGTGCTGGAAGACGGTTGTTCTTCAGGGATTGGGTGAATTGCATGTTTAGGGGCTAATGTCACGCGCGATTGGCATAAAGCGAACCCCTTTGATTCAGCGCTGCTACAGGGCCCAATCTTTGAGGTATGATAGTATGGTTCTAAGATAGGAGCCTTGATCTTTGACTTTAAAGTGCTGGAGTATATTGCGCCTTCACTCAAATGGTTCGAAGGGGACAACCCTGAAAAAATGAGGCCTCTGTACCATGCAGGTTCAGTCCCCAAACAGTACAAGAGCACCCTTCGGATAGGAAGGAGTTCAGACTATGGAGCTGGTATGTCGCATTCAATGACTTCAAGACTTGTCCTTATAATCGCCTGTGAGAGCCCCCCCATCCAGGATGAACCGAAGAATAAGTGTGTAAGGGCTCCACTAAGGATGCATACGGTTTAGGGTTAGGGTTCCCCTAAGGATCCAAATCGCCCAAAGTAGTAATATGTATAGACCTTAGGGCCCAAAGTAGGTATTGTTTGTATACTTGCATCCCTAAACCCTAAACCCTAGACCAATGTAGGTGTTATTTGTATACTGGGATCGAGGGTGCTTGTAAGCTCAGGTGTTGGGACCCATGTGCTAGGGTGTAGCCCTTGTGGTCGGAATCGCAGCAGACATGCGAATAGTAAGGGGGGGAGGGGGGTCGGTGAAAGTAGATTGTCTTTGAAGGTTTAGTGTTGTGTTGAAAGTAATTGCATTAAGTCTGCCCATGATTGTTGCCCTCCTTGATTTGTTGGCCATATCCCGATGGTCACTTACTTGATACGCAGCACATCCTCTCATTGGTGAGTAGAGGTGTTTTCTATAACATCTCGTGATTTCTCTCAGCTGGACTACCTGCCCCTGGACTTAGACGTGCGTCGTCGAAGCGGATATACCTGTGGTGCGTTCGCAGCCAAAAACAATGCTTAGGCCACGGCCACATGGTGGAGGGTAAGCTTTACAAATATAGTTGGTACTTTCCCCCCAAAATGGAATCCCAATATAGCCCCGAAATATTAAAATCCCCATTCTAGGGATCCCTATAAAGGTACCCCCGCCCCCAATTTGGAGAACCCCCAGTCATTCTGAAGATGAGCCCTTTAGGATACCTACAGTACCCTATCAATTCCACAGAGATTCCATCCTTTATGCAAGATATGTCCGTGAATTCAGGGCTCAGGGTTGGTGAGTTACAAGCTTCAACATGTAACTGTAGTCTAAACTCCTAAAGGGGGGGGTATGTAGGGGATTATATAGGGTTAGATGGGGATATATAGGATTGTTTAGGGTGTAGGGTTTAGGGTCTAAACTCCTTAAAGGGGGTTATGTAGGGGATTATTAGGGGGACTACTATAGGGCTTCTTAAGGGTGGATACTAGGAGTTTAGACTACGGCTCGTATGGCTTACTGGCAACAAGGGACTGTCTGACATGTGTCAGGACCATCCAGTTTTGGGGGGGGAGTTTGAAGTTACAGGTTGTTTAATGAAGTGCTCTGACAAGGCTACTTTTCCCTGGCTGTAGATTAACTAGAGATGCTGAGCGGCAGCCTTGCAAGCGAGCCCTGACTTTGACGAATGACCACTAGCATCTGAGAGCTTCGGCAAATGACCCCTCCGTCGGTATGCCGCGCAAGCCCTGATAGGGTATTTGTAGCTGTGGCATGAACTGGCTTCCATTACTTCGATATAATATGACCCCAATATATGCCCAATTATAATGCATGTGTATTAGTTTCCGTAGTTTCCAGTTTTCCATCATCCCAATACAACCCCTATAGAATGAACAACATGGCTTCCGCGGCCTCGGCCTCCGAACTGTTTTGCTTTGCACACAGCACGAGGCAACTACTCGGAGTGGCACGAGGAGTTCGTGTGCATACCGATATAGTCCCCCTTAAGTAGATAGAATATGGCTTTGGGTATATTGTAATAAGACCCCCATATACCCCGTATACTACCTACTTCAGGGGGACCCCAAACCCTAAACCCTAAATAGTAGTTTCCATTTTCTTTTCCATTATCCCAACATATACCCCATATACTATCTACTTAAGGGACACTAGAACCTCTAGAAGCCGTATGGTAACCCCGGTCAAACCCCCACTTCCCCTGACACTCCAAGTTGCCCCCCACACGGATTAACGTTGTAAACTCTATCCCTAAGCCCTTGACCCAAAAACCTAAATAGTAGTTTCCATGTTCTTTTTCCATTATTCCTATACAACCCTTAACCCAGAACCCTACATAACCTCTGGGGCATGGCATCAAGGCAAGACAGTGTCTCGCCCCGAAGGTCCAACACTTGCTAAGTCTCCATATGAGCTACTAAACTCCTTGAAGGGGGTTCTATGGTTTAGGGTGTGCGGTTTAGGGTTTAGGGAGGGATTATATAGGGTTTGGGGTTTAGGGCCTAAATTCTTTAAAGAGGGTTAGAGAGGGGATTGTATAGCTTCATTAGGGATTATTTGGGGGAATATCAAAGGGCTTACTAAGGGGGATACTAGGAGTTTAGACTATGGCCCATATGGTCTCAGGTACCCTTAACCCTAAACCCTGAACCCTAAACCCGAAGCCCCGATATTTGAGCCTAGCTAAACCCCAAAAGTATGCAAAATGACAGCCCTAAACCCATAGTAACAGCCATAAAGGCCATTATTTTACATCTTTTGGGGTCCAGGTAGGGCCTTAGGGCCTCAAACGCTGGAATCCCCGAAGGGGGCCTTGACTTCCACGGTTCCTCAGAATCCCTGAGCCCTGTGCCCTGAGCCTTGAACCCTGAATCCTAATCCTTACCGGAACCCCAGAAGTATGTAGAATGATGGCCTTTTGGGCTATAATTAGATGTTTTGCGTGTTTTTTCCTACTTTTGGGGTTCAGGTAAGGATTTAAGTGCTTCAGAGTTTCTCTTGCTCAAAGCCCGCATCTGCTCCGCTCCCACCACCTACTGACACGAGATGGGACCCATCCGTGCGTGGACGCTTGCTGCACTGGCAGTGAACAAGGCGCCCAGTTTGGGGTTTAGGGTTTGGGGTACTTAGAGTTTTGGGTCAGCTACTGCGGATGGAGGAAATCTTGCACCTCCCCTGATATCCCAGCAATTACAGTATGACTGTAGGTGTTCTGAGTGCTCCTTTGAAAGAAGCTCTGAACATCTAAAAGGTGACTGATGAAATTGTTAAGGCTTTAAAATTAATGTGCAGGTACTCCTTCTTGATCTCAGGTCTAACGATTGTTGCCCATGAGCTGAAGCAGCTGGATATCACTGCAGTCACTAATTGTGGCCGGCTGGTCAGATGACCTAATCTAAAGTTTGCAGGCAGAAGCTAATCTAAAATGGAAGAGCATTTTGCTTATGTATTTTGTTGTTGTGGTTGGCAGGTTTGGTTTTTGGCTTCTCGGCTTCTCGGCATTCCAGCTTGTTGGCTTCTCTGGCTTCTTGGCTTTGCGGCTTCTAGGCTTTTCAGCTTGCTCGCTTCTCGGCTTCTGGGCTTTCTGGCTTCTTGTCTTCTCTTGCTTCTTGGCTTCTCCCTCCACCCTCCACGCGTTGTTAAAGACATCCATGCTTATGGTAAAAGCTCGCGTCGCCACATGTCACCACCATGTTTGCAGTTCAGGAAGGCTGTGCGGATCATTTTGTTTGCAAATGGAGGGGCTTCGCCCCAAAACATCCCGCTTTGTTAAAGCTAGCAATGTCTATGTACCAAAATGTCATGTCATCACGATGGGGCTACGACACCCCCGCTTTTCAAGGCGATCATGCTTGCACTCCAAACCAAGCATCATGTGTGTGGATCATTTTGTTTGCAAATGGGGGGGGGCTGCGCCCCCCCCAACCCCCCTGCTTTTTCAAGGCCATCCATGCAAGACCAGGTCATGACAACTGTAGTACTACAGAGGGTCTGCGGATCATTTTGCTCACAGAGGGGTGGGGGGGCGCCAACCCGCTCCGCGTTTTTGAAGCCATCCATGCTTAAGGTAAAAAATGACATCTCCGTGGTTGCAGTAGGGGAAGGCTGTGCGGATCATTTCATTTGCAAATGGGGGGACGCTGCTCCCCCCCCAACCCCTTGCCATGCTTAAGTCATCCGTACTTGCAGTAGACAAGATGATGTCATCGCCATGTTTGCCATAAGGGAGGGTAAGGGAGAATTCTGCGGATTATGATCGCTAGAACCGTTTTTCTTGGTTTGTAGCTTAGTATTATCACTGTTATCATCATCACGTTCATCGTCATCATCATTATCATTGCCAAGAATGCGGCTTCTCATCACCACTGTCACGATTACTTTGATTACTATTACAACAGGTATTATGTGTTCTCATGCCTATTCCTATTGTCACTATGTTTTTAGAGTTCTCGCAAGAGCATCCTAACAGATGGAGCTCTCTCACGTGAAGTTTTTTTGGGATTTTGACACTAAGTGGAGCTCCCACTCAAACCCTAAACCCCGAAACCCCTAAACCCTTAAACCCCTAAACTATTGGGTACCTCAAGTCTGGGTTCAAAATTGAGCTCCAGCCTGAAGCGTTCTCTGACACCAGAGAGAGCTTCCGCGTAGGGCGTCCTCAAATTTTGGTCTACAGTTTAGGGTTTAGGGTTTGTTTAGGCAGAATGCCGAGGACCACCCAAAAGCAAAAAATGCATGAACGACGTTATCATTCATCCGAGCTGAGCGGTCAGTGTGGAACCTTACTAATTAAAGGCCAAACTTTAAACCCTAAGCCCCAAACTTTTAACCCTAAACCGTAGGCCGTGGGAGGAGTTCTTTTGAAACCATCCCGGACATTGTGTAGAAGGGATCCCTGCAATGGGCCTGTATTTTGTACATACGTTTACGCAGGCTTTTTGACCAAGGCTAGCCATGATCCATCCTTAGACTGCTTTAGGGTTTGGGAATTATGGTTTAAGCCCTAAACCCTAAACCATAAACCCTAAATCCTAAACCCAGGGATCGGGGTTTTATAGGCTCAAGGGATGAGGGTCAAGGGGTTTCAGGTTTGGGGTTTAGCCGTCAGGTTGATGTTGCAGAGTACCCTCAAAGCTCCAGATTTAAAGCAGGCCTGCATGATCCCTATGCGCTGCCACGCATGATCCTGCAGGGCTTCAGGTTAATTGCCATTACTTAGGACCCCCCACCCTGTAATAGTGGTATAATCGGAATATAACAGGACCCTAATATAATCCTTATTATCCCTTATAGTCACTATTACTGGGTGGGGGCTCCACCTAAGCCATTACTTCGGGTTTGGGAGGGTCATTTTGAGCGTGAAAGTCTGGAATTTTTGATTAAGTTTGAGAACCCTGAGTAATTGTAGACTTAACAAACCCAAACCTGAAGCCTAAACCCAAACCATAGCAAAAACCCAAACCCTTATCCCTACATGCCTCAACGATGCCTGTTGCGAGGCTTTGGGGCAAGTTGACTGTTCCGGGCAAGGAACAACATGGGGCCCAGGCTCCTGCCAGAAGAGCCAGGTTTGAGCGGTTTGGGGTTTATGCTTTAATGGTTAGGTGCTTAGGGTTGATTTGGTTAAGGGCTTGAGGCTTAGGGTTCAGTGTTTAGGCTTCAGCGTCCGGGGCTTAGGGTCTATCTCAGCCTTACAAGGGGCAATTGTTGAGCTTCAACCCCGTAAAATGTGTCGAGGACGCACAGTCCTCACCCATTTTCGGGCACCATCATCGATTGTCCTCGGCATTAGGTCTTAACCCAGTACTCCGTAAGGAAGCGCGGCATTTGGGCTATACCTTACTTATGACTTGGATCGCCTATACGGGAGCTTCCCAAAAAATAGATTAGACAACCTGTCCGTAGGGCCGCACCACAATCCCTCTACAATCTCCATATATCCCTTAGGGCCTCCTTTTCGCACGAAACCCTGCATATTGTGAATCCAGGAGATGTTGCACTACCTTATGCACCTATGCCCTGCAAATTATAGTTACAATATCTTGGGGAACCCTAAGGGTCCAAGTACCCAATAATCATATACTTACCCCAAACCTGTACTATAATTACTATTACCCAAATCCCAAGTACCCAAATATGGGGTACATGGACCCTAAACCCTAAACCCTAAACCCCATATACCCTTATATACCCCCTATATAACCACAAAATCCCAAATATGGGGTACATGGACCCTTAGGGCAATGGAGTTGGCGCGAGATTTCCTCTGTCCACGCTCCTTTCAGCATGGAGGCATCGGTCCTCCCCCTGACGGATGCGGCCGGGGGGCTAAGATAGAATCTGTCTGGGGATATATAGGGGTATATAGGGGGTATATGAGGGCATATGGGGTCTAGGGTATTTAGGGTCCAAGTACCCAATAATTAGGTACTTGGGTTTTGGGTAATAGTAATTATGGTATTGGCTTTGGGTATGTATATGATTATTAGGTACTTGGACCCTTAGGGTAGGGTTTGCTGGCTAACTTCGGATGGTGGGCCTTATGTCCAGATGTTCAATGACGTTACTTTGTCCGGAGTTTAAGTTTTAAAGGTTTGTGGCTTGGGAGGTTAGGGTTTTTGGGTTTTATGCTGGCGAACTCTGCAGCGTGTAGGTATTTGCTTGAACATTGTACGGGTATAGGTTCCAAACTTAGGGCACGTGTCGTACCCTTACCTCCGGCGTGCCCGTAGGAATCGCACCCCACAAAGGCCCGTAGTCGCCGAAACAGGCTGAAGTTTCTGAACATTCATAGGTTGGGATAATGGAAACTATTGTAATGGGTTATCTTGGGATAATGGAAAAGAAAATGGAAACTACTATATGGGTTTATATATGGTTGTATGCACTTTTGAGGGGCTTCCTGAAAAAGCAGGATCCTGTCATTCCTTAAGGGTCCAAGTACCTAACAATTATATGCTTACCCAAAACTAATACTATAATTACTATTATTACCCAACACCCAAGTACCCAATTATTGAGTACATGGAGCCTTTGGGACTTTGGAGCATAGAATGAAGAGCCCTACTTCTAATTGCCCAAGCGTTGATGTGCGAAATTTTAGCTTCACGGGCCATCCAACCTCAGTGAGGACAGGCTTCCTGGTGCTTGAAGAGTGGAGGGAAGGAATACAGGTACTATACTGCTGAACTGTTTAGGGTTTAGGGCCCCTATACTGCCAAAGGATCCTAAGTATATATATATATATATTGGGAAAGAAGTCGCCCAAGCGCTATCTTGAAATCCTGGTGCAGAACCACTCCTTTCTGCTGTGTAGATACTTAGGATCCTTTGGGACTATCCGGGGTTCCACTACAACCCCCCCCTAATTACCGCCTTGCTCCCTTCAAATTACCTCAAATTGGCCCGGATTATTGCCCTAATTAAGGCTGGACCTAAGTGGAGGGGGCTAGTACAGGAACCCATGGAACTTAGTTTAGGGTTTAGGTTCACCTCTGCCTAGTAGGGCTAGGTGGGGAAGATCCAAGCTATGACCGGGTGATATTCTAGGCATTCCTAGGGTCTCTTACGATTGGTGCAATTGGTGACCGTCGTGTTTCGGACTTCGTCAGAGCGCATTGGCCTTGAAGAAAATTTCTGCATGGGCCTCACTGCGCCTTTGGGTTTTTGGATCTTGGAAATGGAGAGGAGTAGAAATTGGAAAGATTCACATGGATACCAGGTAGTGGTGTTTGAAAGTTTTGGCACCCTTGAGTCAACGTGCATTCACCTGAGGACCTAAACTAGTGTGACTTGCAGGATCTACGGTGCTTGGCGCTGCAGGATTTCTTCCATCAACCCCTAAACCCTGAACCCTAAACCAAAGCCATAAATTGAAAAGTCTAGAGCCACTTCAGGCATGCTGACACTATACCTTATAAACCACCCTGAACAGCGCCTGAATCGTGTAGGAAGTTGGCACGCTAGGAACAGAGTACTCATGCGAAGGCTGCGCTTGGGTCGTATGTTTCAGGGCTACATGGTTTGGGATGTTGGATCATGAATAGTACCTACATTGAGCGATTTGGAGCCTTCGGATATTGAGCCACTTAAGCCCTATACCCTGGGTGGGCCCTAAACCCTGAACCTTAATTCGTGGAGGCAGCGGTGCTCCTAGCGGTGGTGCGCCAGGGGGAACCGCAACCTGCAGAGGGCTAAGCAGGGGGTGGGCCGGGGTTTGGGGTGCAGGGTTTAGGGCTAGGGTGTTTAGGGTTTAGGGGGATTTAGGGTTTAGGATTCATGGTGTGCGGTTCAAGGTTCACCGACATGGTATGCGGTTTGTGTCCTAGGTTTTGTAGTTGTGTGCTGGTTATGTTTGGCTTCGTATCTCCGTACACTTTCTGCATATTTGGGGCCCTATCGTCTAGGGTTTTGAGGTTCAGGGGTACAGGCGTTCTTGAGTTCAGGTTTTACGGTTTACACGGTCGGGGTCATTGGCTACAAGGCTTCACTTTCCCTGTCTACAAGGACCTCTGGCTATAGTAGTCTGCCATTCGCCTTTCAGGTCCCATGTTGACTTTGCTGGGGGAGTTGAAAGGATTGGGGCCGGAAGCAATTAAAATCCTGCGACTGCCATATGACAACCGCGAAGTCCCTATGTTTCTTGGGGGCCGGCAGTTCTCAGAGTCTTCTTAGTCTTATTGTAATGGGTATGCTTCGCGTGCTCAGAAGGGCTCAAGCCCATACAGTATCTCTCGCAACTCGAACCACAGGATTCCTTCCAATAAGGATCCCGTTGTTGACTGCTGGTCTATCTTCACTGAGTTGCCAGTTCCTGAAGAAGTGGTTTGGGATCTTACTTCATAGGTCCGCCACATCTTTCTGATCTGGAGAGTCCAGGGCAGGTCAGTTTGAGTTAGCCCAGGAGAAGAAGCTATGGCACCCCCAAATGCGTCTGATCTCAGCTATCAGCCCCATATCCTGCAGTGCAAGTGCCATGCACCCTCATCGCAAGCCATGAACCCCTAACCCTAATGACTCCGAAAAAAAACCCTAAGCCCTAAAGCCTTCTAACCGTGGCACCCTCCCTGCATTCTGCCGTAAGAATTTCTGGGACCGCTGGCAAAGCAAGACCTCGCGAACCCAGAGCCGCAAGGCCCTCAACCCTATGAACCTCAGGCCCATAGTCCTGGGAATTGAAAGCCCCCAACCATATAAACTCCCAACACCCTGAACACTATAAACTCTAACAGCCCCAAAACCAACAATCAAGCTTAAGCCTGGGCCCTGAAAAGCTCCCCGCAAGGCACAAACCCCACTTGTGCAAGCCCTCCCTGTGCTGCAGCACTGATGCTCGGATGCCTCATAGGTTTGGGATTTGGCTTCTGAAGGTTTAGGGCTTAAGGTTTGGGCTTTAGGGTTTTACTTTGGGGGTTGAGTGTTTAGTGGCTTTGGGTTTGGGGGTTTCGGGAGTGGGGTTTAGGGCAGTTTGAGGTTTTGGGGGTCTAGGGTATAGCGTTTAGGTTGTGGGGCTTAAGTTCCAGGGTTTGCGTTTTAAGGTTGAGGGTTTGGGGTNNCCCCCCCCTCCCCTCCCCCCCCCTCCCAAAAAAAAGGGGTACCCAAGGGACGCTATGTCACCATTCAGGATTCAACAGTGCCAGGGACTATTCTCGGTTGCTGGTCAGGACCTTGACTTATGGTACCATATACAGTAAACAAATGTAAACAATACAGTTACAATTTGATGATAACTGAAATGAAGTATTTTCAGAAACTCCGGACAAACAGCATGCCTCTTGCCTTTCCATGGCGTTCCTACACATTACCATACGGCCCTGACTGATGGGTTCCAAAACCCAACATTGGCTAATGTAGGTAGTACGTGTAGACCTGAAGGCCTTTTTATGGTTTGATGCATTAGACTTGGAGCCCTAGGGTAAGGGTCAGCGTACTAAGGAGCTCAGTACTTGCCAGTTTGAGTTATGTAATTCTAGCACAGGTTTTGGCAAGCCATGTTGTATGACTACTGGGTACTTGGACCCCAATAGGATGAAACCCCAAATACTAAACCCTCAACCCCCAATTCCTTGAACCCCAGGCCCCTAAACCCTAAACTCC